AATTAATGCATGATCACTTGCAAAGAGGTCATGATAAAAATCCATAGATAAAGGGAAGGTGCCATTAGTAAAAATTAAGTCTAAAACACTATCGTTTCTGGTCGAAGAGTGAACTAATTGAGTCAGGTTTGAAAAGTAAATTGTGTCAAGCAGCTTCTGGAATTTAGGAGGAGAAGTATGTGTGTGCCAGTCAATTTCTGGCAAATTAAAATCGCCTACGATTATCTTGACATCGAAAGAAGTTTCTGCAATTTTTTCAAAGAGTTCGCAAAAGTGGCTTTCATTACCAGAGGAACAAGGAGGATTACATACACATCCGACTAAGGCTTTCCTATTTTGAGGAAGGATTACCGAAGCAAAACATAAATTTCCAGAGAAGGAGGAAATGTTCAAGTTATAAGGCGATTGTGCAAGTGATGCTCTTATGTAAAGAAGGCATCCACCGCCGCGTCTGTCGGCACGGTCCTGGCGGTATAAACTAAGGCTATCTATGTTAAGTACCGAGTCTGAAATTAGAGAGTGGGCCCAAGATTCAGTAATGCACAATACGTCTGTGTCAAACTCAACAGCTACACTTCTTAGGTGTGCCATCTTTTGTACGACAGATCTTGCGTTGAGAGAGACAATACTGAGCGTATTCCTAATATGTAGGTTCCGCTCATTGCTACTTATAAAAAAGGAGGAGCCGGAGGTGGAAAATTAAGCTGAGGGAACGGAGCAATTGGTGGAGGACAAAGTTGCTGCGGTCTAAAATGTATGGGGTAATTACTAGTTAGAGATGCAGCATTAGGTGGAAAAACATTTGAGGAGGACCCAGGAAGAGGAAAACTATTTTGTTGGGTTGGAAAAATAGGAGACAAGAAAATAGGATTTTGGGAATTGTTAGCATAATACGAGGGGTAGTTTATGTTAGGTGGCGGACGTAATGGTTTCGGGAAACAGTTAACATCAGGAAAGGGCTTTATTATTTGGGGTGTCAGGCTAGCAACGGGATTGGAAAATTTATCAGCAATGCAATATACTTGCATTTTGCAGTCTGATGTGTAAGAGGGTTTCACAACTGTGGCGGTAAGTTGAGAATTTAGGATAGGAACAGGTTCCGCCGTGAGCATCGACAGACCGCATGAGGTCGAAATGCGGGAGATGACATCAAGAACAGCGAAAATCGTCGTAGTATATGGCATTGTATAACGGATTTCATAATGGGGTAAGTACTTGGGTCAGGCAGGACTGGCCTGTATGTGGCATTGAGTAAAAGGTTCGAAACGGGTATCATCAAGGCAGGATTCCTATTCCGCATGAGGCCATTCATGTCCAAGTGGCGAATTGAAAACCAGTCTCGAGACGACAGGAACCCAGATGCGATCGGTTACATTCAGCCGAGTCCATCCGTGAAGAGACTACTAGTATATGGCGAATACAGAAGGTTTCGCCAAGAGCGTCGATTGAGCTCATTCTGTGAGGCCATGATACATGAACTGACAAAGTGGAAAAATTAACATTTCTGGTGAGGGATCTTAGGAAACGACACGACTCACAAAGGAAGGAAATGTGAGCAGATACGGAAAGTTAATGGCGGCCTCCTAAATTCCCGGTGGCCCTGTTTCAGTGGCATGGAGAAAGTTGTCGAGGAAGGATGAGGAAAATAAAAGTTTAGTGGAGTCAGTATTCAGATTAGGGCGTAGCCTTCTCTGAAAAGTGTGTAGATCATCTGAAGATCTAATAACTATTGGAAGGTTATTCCAGAGGAAATATATCTGGAAACGAAAAAAAGAGAGCGCTTAGAGGTGGAGGAAGGGGGAGGAGGTAAAATGAAGCATGAGTTGCGAATATTGTATGGGCGAATACTAGGGGTAAGCGCTGAAATCCGAGGAAGATATGAACTGTTATTAATGTGGAAGAGGAGAGAGAAGCCTGCTTCTAGTCTTCGAACCCATAAAATGTTTATTTATCTTGCATCTATCTGAGTAGGAGATATTTGGATGTTCCCTATCTAAAACTTTTTTTTAGAAAAACGTCTTTGAACATTTTCAAATTTTAAACAACTAGCCTCATTCATCAAACCAAAGAATGGACAACAATACTCGAGAATACGAAGTGACAACATACGATAGAGTCTTTATTTAATTTCAGGAAGATAGAAACTGCAAGAAATAAAGCTGCAAATCTGGGCAACTTTGGCTGTAATTCTGTCAGCCTGTGGCGAGAGATCAAGATTATTAGTGTAGCTTAAACCTAAATCCTTGATGGTGGTACATTCAGTCATAGGTGTGCCTTGAAATACCACTGGTTGGGGTAGCCTATCAGGTCCAAAACCCATATAGCGACATTTAGACGGAGAGAATTCCATCAGCCATTTTGAGCACCAAGCTGAGAGAGCAAGCAAGTCAGCATGGATTTGGTTCAGGCAATGAAGGCTCGTAGATTTATTGAAAGAATATACACATTTGAGATCATCGGCATAAATAAATGATATCATTTATGCAATGAAGGAACAAAAGAGGACCTAAAACGGTGCCTTGTAGGACACCACTTACAATAGGGTTTACACTGGAAAGTGGAGATCCCACCAAAACAGTCTGTTTACGATTATACAGGTATGACTTGATAAAGTCTATCTGAGGACGGCGAATTCCCAGAGCTTCTGATTTAGCCAAGTCTTTTATGTGGCAATTTATCAAACGGACCAAGGAACGCCTTTGTGGTTCTCAGATATTCGACGTTTTTGAAAAATGCGTTATTGTCTACCTGCGTGCCACACGGCAAACAAGAGGTGTGCGACTTATGGAAAAAACGGTCACCTGGACTTTTGAGATCTCAAAGCCACCCTCTAAGAATATTCCATGATCTTTCGGTGTGGGTTCAGGATGCTGCGTACCAGAGGGGATTCAAAATTGGGTGAGATTGACGGTTAGTCCTCATATTGTCCTAATGCACTACTTTAATTCGGCACCATTCTCAGGCCCATTCTCCCCGTCAGCGATATCAAAGGATAACAAGACGACGAAGGGAAATTATATGAACAGATACACTATACTTAATACAGTAATCTATGGTAATCAAACACATTCAAACTACCTCCACCTAATATACTTTTGCGGTCGCGTGTCTTGTTGTGTGTGTAGTGTAAAAGGGAATTGAAACTACAGGGAAAAAATAGATACGGAAAAATTTACCTCCTAACGAGAAACGTGGATTTTCTTACAAAAAATGATAACGAAATGTATGTGAACAGACTCGCGAAGAATAAAACCCCCTCGAGTGTCGGTTGTTGTAGAGCGAAGAACGTTCCGGGCAAAGTACATAAATTTCCAAGCAGAAGTCGGTTAGAAGAACTTGTTGCCTAGGTAAGTTCACGCTTTGCGAGATACGACCGAGGAATGACGACTGATCGTGGCAAATGGCTAAAAAGTATTCAGGCACCCGAACGCAATCAATGTAACAGTGGCACCATGCAGCAGGCGGACAGAAACGTGCGTTAACGCAAGCGGAAACCAGCCGTGTGTTTTAGCAAATGCAAATAACAATAAGAAGAGTTCGAACGCATAAAAATGTAAAAAAATGAGAATATACGTAGACCTGTAAGGTGAAGGGATTTCACACGATTTGCGGGGAGGAACATCGTTCGTACATGGCAAATGCATAATTCGGTGGAATATTCTCCGGTGCAGTCAAACCCACCGCTGCTGCTGCAAAGCCACATGTCGCACATTTATGGTATCCCTTCGTTGGAGGCAGACTGGAAAAAAACCCGCGGCCAGCGGTCATACATATCGTGACTTCCAGCAGCAAGTCGCCTCAGTGTGGAATTGCCACTTGGATGATGTACTACTCTTCCATTCTACGTTTTAGTTCCGCAAGTTTTCAAACAAGCGGACACAAACAGGAAAACGGAAGTCTCTGTGTAATATCAACCGAAGAAATAAGGGCTTCTCAATTCAGGCGTCTTACATTTGTGTATATATACACAGAGGCTGGCTGATTAAGGTGTGCTTTGTGCTTATTCCACGATTCACTAGGTGTGCGATTTCGAGACAAAAGCTCAGACAACATCTGTGGTTAGGTTAAATTACAATGTCAATGATTTTTTAAGGAACAAATCATCTTTGGCCCCAGAACATCCGCCCTATTCACAAACTCAGAGCAGAATTGAACCATGAATATGGTGTTGAAAATGTGAGCCAATTAGCTTTTGCGGTTGCTGTTTGAGTTGGTGCGTTGGCTTCCCAGATGAATCGGGATTTCTCCGCATGTTGGTTGGACCGCGACACGTTGATTTCCTAAGATGCCTGCCGTATTACTTCAAGGCGAAGTGTGGATTTGCCAAGACCACTCACTATTCCATTAAACCACGTTCAAGGGATCCACGATGGAGGGACATTGACCTGACCAGGCATCAAGAGGTCGCCGATGTTGTCATCGTCGGCGGTGGGCCCGCTGGTTTTGCCGCCGCTTGTAGACTAAAACAGATGGCTAACTTGGACAACCGCCCAGACTTCCGTGTTGTCATACTAGAAAAGGCTGCATATATTGGTTTTTCAGTGTAAATCTTTACAAACCTGTAGGTGGACACATAATGTCAGGTGCATGCATTGAGCCAAAGGCCCTCGAAGAGATCTTCCCGAACTGGAGGGAGTTAAAAGTACCCAAACCTTCCACATGCATTTTAGGCCCCACTTAACACGCCAGTATTATCAGACTCCTTTTACTTCTTGACAGAAAAGCACCGATTTCCCATTCCTCTTATTCCAGGTTAATTGACTACTCGTTGATCTAAATTTTAGGTCTCCCCATGCGAAATGAAGGCAATTTTATCGTTCGCTTGGGACATCTTGTTGCCTGGATGGGGCAGCAGGCTGAAGATCTGGGTGTTGAAGTCTACCCTGGCACAGCTGCATCTGAGGTTGTTTAATTGTCAAAAATTGACGTTATTCTAGGTACTGTTTGGCAAAGAGGGCCAAGTTATCGGCGTGGCAACAAACGACGTTGGTATAAATAAGGACGGGTCACCGAAAGACACCTTTGAGCGTGGCATGGAGATTTTGGCTACACAGACGATTTTTGCAGAGGGCTGCCACGGACATTTAACTAAACAGGTACGCTTCCTACCATTAAAATAAGCATATTATGTTAGAAGATAACCGCCTACCTTTGATATTGCCCAGATTGTGTTTGTAAGAGCGAACCAGGTCATTTCCTATAGTTAACTGATTTAAATTCTTTGGACATTTTCGTCATTTTGCGCACAACCTTTACTCATCTATGGTGCGCGGACGCATCTCAACGTTTTCAAGATGGAGACAGGAGCTCTGTAAAAAGAACTTTATTATCCTGGCGTTTCGGATTCTCACTCAAACCCATCATAATAGACAGAGTCAGTTAAGGGTAGTGTATTGCCCAGGTGTTGCAGTAGTTGCTAGGCAGATACATGACTATCACAGTTGACAGCTCCCGAGTGCATCACGGTTCGACTGGCCAAGTGTTAAAGTATGCAGTTGCTATGCTCCTGTGTGCCTGCCAGCTGTGATAGGCACGTAGCGGTCTAGCAACCGCATCCTTTAAATAATGTAACACCTGAGCAATCCACTACCCTTACCTGACTGTGTCTCAGACGATGGATTCAAGTGAGAATCCGAAACATCAGACTACTAAAGCTTTTGTTCCAGCGATCATGTCTCCTTCACCACAACTTTCCGGGACTCGCCTATTCACCTCTACTGGCAAATCGAAACGTTATTAGTTGAGTCATCTCCGCCTTCATCACAATCTGCAGTTTGCACTTTATTTGCAAGATAGACAAGATAGCTAACCTTTTCTAGGACCGCGGCATTTCGATTTAAAAGTCGTTACACAGTCTTTCGGCCATTTCGACATATTTTTCGTGACATTCACTCTGCAGATGATCAAGAAGTTCAGTTTGCGAGAAGACACGAAGCCCCAAACGTATGGCATCGGATTCAAGGAGTTGTGGGAAATCAAGAAATCAGGATGGAGTCCAGGTCATGTTGAACATGGTATCGGGTGGCCGATGGTGAGTTTTGGTTTTTGTTTTTCTGTTCTGCACCCAAAACACCGTACGTCGGCTAAATGTTTGAGCACATTGAGCGCCATACCTTTGGAAGACCCCATTTTACTCATTTGTCATTAAAAGTGTCTGTCGAGACATTGAGTCTAGGCTAACTCTTATGATGCACTTTTCCCAAGAGCGGAAGACCATCGTGCCTTCGTATAATGTATTTCCGCATGCTTATCTTTTTAAATTTTTTGCAGTTTGGTTCCTCACGGACGCCCCTAATTTTCTAACGATAGTCCCCTAAACAATGAACGAGGCCTTTCCGGCAGTAAAACAGACATAATGAGCTTCTATCGTTGGCACATTAGTGCAGCAGGACTTGAAAGTATTCGATCTTTAGACTCCCTGATGATAGATTGCACCTGCTGGTGCGCACTCGGTGCCATTTCAGTAGCTGATAAAACTTCATTATACTTGCCCAGGTATTTCAACATTTGCCCGTTAATTTTACCCACTTTCAGTCTAATGGCAACTATGGCGGCTATTTCATCTACCATTACGCTGGCGAAAGTCCGCTTATATCGTTTGGATTTGTAGTAAGTCATATTTTTCTCCCAACAGGGATGTTTGTTAGTGTTTCTTTTGGCACTGGTTATGCGTTTCCAAGTAGTCAGTTTTTTGATCGGAGACGCGGGAATTTCATTATACTTGGGTGTTTATACAGTAAACGAAAAATCGTGGATGGGGTTAGTCATGCCTGTTTTTTCTGAGCTGTCTGCTGTTGCGTACTAGGCTATAAAAATACTATCTATTGCCCTTTTGCAAGGGAGCTGAAGTGGCTTGTACCTACTAGAGTAGTTTTTTCTTTTAGGCTATTTCCTATGATTCCAGTGTACACCGACTCTCCGTACTATGATTCCTCTAAAGGAGTAGTTTGGTAATTTGAGCACCATTGTTACGTGATATGACTGATTTCTAAAACTTCAACGATCGGCCTTACCGTAACAAGTAAAGTTAAATTAAACCGCTTCTCACACAGGATTCGTCACAGTGGAGTTAGCACACCGTGCGACTTTACTAGTTTCACGCATGTTATGACCTGTCCACCTGATCTATTTTTCCCATATATAGCCTGAATGAGCTTCCATTAGTCTGGTGGGTGCTCTTTGGCTGACGTAGGTGAATGTTTCAATCTGCAAGTGCTAACCCGTTGATCAATATGTCCTCAGTTCTTTAACGCCCGCTAGCACAAATAGTTACTGTTATAATAGCACCAACCATATCTCCACGGTTGGATGCTCCTTGACGACATAGCTTTCTTGGGTGCCAAGACATTTCCGTGCCTTCGAATGCTGCCCCCTCAATGTACGGTTCTTTCTCGATCAGTGAACCTTGTGACAAATTGTTTTGGGATTGGTAGAGGACGCTTGGGTGTTCTACACTGCAGGGTTGGGTGTGACTGGCTGATGACGGCCAATAAGCCAGAAATGGCCATTCCAGTCCCCCTTGCCTTTCTCGATAATAACATTCTGTTTTGGGATTCTCTACCAGTAGGGATTGGGCTTATAAAGCCACACGACGACTTACCGTGTTGTTAATTTTTCTTTGCGTCAGCTTCTTAGCCTGCTAGTGAAATTGAATGCTGTGAATGTCACTTCTTCGATTGCTAGCCTCTACATTTTTCACCTCGTCTTTTCGAGGACATTTAAACTGATTCTTTATCTTTAGACTTCCACGGATGCTTCTAAATGTTTTAGATGGGTCTCGATTATGAGAATCCTTATCAGAACCCTTACAAGGAATTCCAACGCTTAAAACAGCATCCGCACTTTGACAGACTCCTGGATGGCGGAACCCGAGTGGCCTACGGTGCGCGAGCACTGGCTGAGGGTGGCTACCAATCGATACCCAAGCTGACTATGCCAGGCGGCCTGCTGATCGGTTGTACCGCCGGTTTTCTCAATGTGCCCAAAATTAAGGGTGTGCACAATGCCTTACGCTCTGGGCGAATAGCAGCGGAGTCCGTGTATAAGCACATCAGCGAAGTTGATACCTCCAATAAGTCCCTAGGTACTCCCTCCTGGGGTTTATTATGTGCCACGTCCCTTTGGACCTATGACAGTTTAATCATTCTCATAAGAACTGCTTGTCTGTCGAAAAGGTCCCTGACCTCGAATCATGTCGGACCGAATCAACCTCGTCATTCAGTTAGTGGGTGGCTTTATCACTGCCAAATTTGTTTGTGAGTTTAAATTTAAAACATAACCGAAGTGTATACCCACCGAGAGGAATTAACAACTACTCGATTTTTACCCGAAAGTGATAACGACAGAATCATACTGCGTCGTCACCTGGGAATGTCGCATCCCTCCCTTCCCAATCAGTAAACCTCTTCAAATGGCGTCTCTCGCAGGCGGTTAACGCTTTTGCGTAGTCTTGTTCAGCAAATGCTCGCACACCTGTTTAAAATCTTCGGCCTCTGTGACTTAACGGTCTCGTAGTTGAATGTGATGAGCGAATGTGATGGAAGCCGTTACGCAACACTGCATATATTAGCCAAACGCCGTGCGTTGTAATGTCGCAGGTCATTGCTTGTGCGGCCCTGCTATACTGACCGTGTGTACAGTTTTTTTCTGCTAAATATCGCACCGAGCCTTCGTTTGGGACAATGTAAGACCAACAGGCGCCACCCAACCGATTGGGCTGATTTTTGTAGCTGTTTAGCCACCTATGATCGTGGCCCGAAGACTTAAGTCCATCCCTTTGCTGTGACCACTGATGAAGGAGAGTTCGCTTTTGCATTTCTATCCGTCCAGCACTGGTTTCTTGGCGACATCAATGGCCAGTGAAAAAGGGGAAGACACCTCTGATCAAACCCGGCTATTGTACTGGGCCGTGCAATCCGGTGTTTGGTAGTTGAGTCTTAGTTAGGCGATAATACCAGTCAGAGTCCTGATGACACTAAATCCTCTAAACTTTCGACTATGCTTACCTATATTTGGCGTTAATACATACAAGTACACAAAGGATGATAATGCATGGGATTAACATGTCTTCTGACTCCTTCCGGTCGGGTTCAATTTGAGTAAAAATGACATTGTTAGTCCAGTTTCGTGCTGTCCGTGGGACGTGCCTTGACTGATTTAGAGCACGGAAATAGACCCTTCAGTTGGCCGTAATATGCAAGACTTTTGGTAGTATGTTCGAGCGTAATTCAGTACTGCTGATAACCACGTTGTGTTGAGATCCCTGCAAACCTTGTCTGTGCGACTACAGTATTTATTTCTTTTTGAGTTTACCCGTACAGTTTTAGTGAACTTGTCATTTAAACCTATTGTTTGACGTCCTTTACTTTCCCAGAGGTCGTGTCCTACCCCGTTGCCCTAAAGCATTCACCCGTTTGGAAAGAGCTGTACAGTGTTCGCAACATACGCCCCAGTGTGGATGCCCTAGGGCTTGGCATGTTTGGTTGCGTACTCTACACTGGCCTGATTTGGTACCTCCTGCGCGGCAAAGAACCCTGGACCTTTAAGTTCAAAGGTAGATCTCAACATATTAACCAACCTTTTCAGGACGATTTTTTGCAAATACAGCCCTCTTTTGTGGGTTTTTCGTGTACGCAGAATAGTGATTTAGGCACAGATGCGGTAGTATTTAGATCCTAGTAGATCTACTTCTTACCAGATATCCACCCGTTACCCTTCTTCACTCGCTCTAAACCCTTGCTTTGTTGTTTTTGTTGAAAAGAGCACTGTCACTCATAGCTCTGCATACACTCGGAAAGTCTAACCGGACCGGGCTGCCCGCGCCTCGGATTATTAAAAAAATCGGTTAAGCTTTGACCTCGCGGGCGATTGTTGCGTGGAACGGCCGGATAAAGGGATATTTACCAATAGCTACTTGGGTATGGAAACATGCACCTCTTCAACACAGCAGTCTGATTTTCCAGAATTACGCCGGACGGAGAGCCGAACCTTGCTGGATGGGGGGAAGCATTTGCCATGTTGTAATACCGTCATGACTTGTAACTCTTTTGTGGGATACCGATTCACCGCGTCGGGACACGGATTCTCTTAAAGGCCTTGGTACTGTATGACCCCTTACTGTTTAGTCGCAAGACCCGAGAACCTGCCTATTTCACACTTAAAGTCCTCTGAAGGTCTTTCCAATTTCTGCCCCGTGTAAACTTGCCCAATGGCATACAGCCCGGGGTGGCAAAGAAGCCGCATCTTTTCGGGGTCAGTCTAGTTCCGTTGACGGAAACCTTTACCTGGTATTGATAGGACTCATTTAAACCATTTAGTTGAGTACTCGGCTTCTCTGCTTGCCTCTTTATTTGCACTATTTACACGTTCCCAGCAATCTGCACATTTCAATTTTGTAATGCAGTTTGTGCATTTGCTATTTCAGAACCGGACTCTAGTCGTCTGAAGCCGGCGAAGGAGTGCAAGCGTATTGTCTACCCGAATCCAGACGGCAAAAGAAGTTTCGACCTCCTTACCTCCGTGGCACTCACTGGTACCAGTCACGATGCCAATGAACCTCCCCATCTCACGCTCTACGATGACACCATACCGGAAACTGTCAACCTGCCAGTCTATGATGGACCTGAACAACGCTTTTGCCCTGCAGGTGCCTCCAGACGGAAGTTTATTGACATCCACTGTGATTTCTTGTTGTTGGGATCTTACTTGTCAAGTTTGGGATGTTGTGCCGTGGTGCTCTGGAACCCTTGTTGTTCTATTTAAATCCTAGGGACGCCCCCTTTCGTAATTGTTAGCGGCCAGAGTTTGAAATCCCCCAACTTTTCCGCGTCCTCATAAATGCTTGGATTGGCTTCCCGTCCAAGGAAAATCGGTATTTCGCCGATAGAATGAAAACTTTCATACCGACAGGCGATTATTTACTGCTCCTGTGGCCTTTAGCAGCCTTGGGCTGTCCGCAGCATAGGGGATCAGTTTGTTCCGAAAATTTCCGAAAATTGCATCATGAAGCTGAGGCTGTTTAGCTCATAGACTTACCAAAGAATCATCGAACAAGCATTGGGATTTGAGCCAGATGGACTTAATGCAGGTCAGGAAAATGTGAAATCTGGGACAATCGGTAACTATGGTATGGCGTGTTTTCTCAGTCCTAGACTTAGTAAGAATAACTTCGTTATGTGTCAGACAAATAGCCATCTTGGGGATTTAGATGTATGATGCAACCAGATCTGCCTGGTTTTAATAAAAAAATTTCAGTCTGAGCGCACTTAGACTGTTGGGAATGTTACCCTCGGTCCATACTCTGGTGGACTAGCTGTAAAATAGGAGTGTATACGCCTTTGCCAATCTGTCCCACCGTTAACTTAAGCAACAGTCCATCTTGGTATTCTAACTCCAACGAATTTAGCTCATAAATAGCGCTTTGTATGTCCGTTGGTGACTGTTCTGAACTATTCTCTAACATTTCAGGTGTTTATGAATACGTAAACATCGACGGTAAGTCAACCCTGCAGATCAATGCTCAGAATTGTATTCATTGCAAAACCTGTGACATCAAGGATGTATCACAGAACATAAACTGGGTCAACCCACAAGGTGGCGAAGGTCCCTCCTACGACGGCATGTAAGGTTGCCCTTCGTATCTATCTCATCCGCTATTCTGACAATCCTCAACTCCAACTGCACACTCAGGGATTCCTTTTTCCAATTTCCATTTGAGTAACACTCTTGGATCTACCAAAGACTCATTTTCCGCCTTCGCTTTTCTCTGTGTCCTTTTTGTTTAAACCACTGTCTCCAAAAATACACTGCCTTTGCTGACTACACCAGCCTCTTCATTCCCCTTGTTTTTAAACACGATGGTCGACTCCTAGTTAGTTGTTCTCTTTCGTCTGCAGATGTCAGGGGTCTCCACCTCCTTCGACTATGCATCCCAGGGTCGCGTGGCTCAGCTGGCCCGCACTTATTGGCTGCCCTCTTCTGACACGACGAGCCAAACCAAGAAACCCTTCAAGCCAGATCTGATTGAACGTATCTACGTGGAGGATCTCATTAGTTTCGGCTTTTCGCACCGACGCTGTATGACGCTCGAACTGTCCCAGTACCTGGAGGCCTACCTGTGGCCGAACTTCAACAAGTCCAGCAGCAGGGCGCATGTTATTTCCATTTGCGCCATGGTCAACGAAAAGGCCCGCGAGCGGGTGCCAATTTGGCAGGCAAGTCTTACTTGTCTCCTTCAACGATCTATTTTGCTACTCTCACTCCCCATAGGCGAGATGTAGTTCTGACCTCTGTTAAAGCGTTTTTCTTTAACGACTTCGTTGAGATGCCAAACTACGACCTTTGACGTACTAAATTCCAACCTTTCTCTTTTTCCGTCCCTTAAGTGTTTTCTGGATTTACCGTCAAACTTCGATGTGCTCATTGACCGCATCCTACGCATTCTCCTAGACGAGCCCCTTCAGCTGGACACTCAGATGCCTGGTGCTGCCGTCAACAACGAAGCGCTCAAGAAGCGTCTGGCTGAACACATAGTGCTCATCACTTTCCTTTCTCACTGCTTCACCAATCTGGCCGAAGTCGGTGTCCTTAGACGGTCTTTGAAGGACATGTACTGTCTGGCCGTTTGGCGTCATCTTCAGCCGGCTCGATTGGAGAAGGAGTTGGACGCCGTTCCGCGCTACCGCAAGCTCCTACACAAACTTGAAAAACGGGCTGCGATCCTAACAGATCCGGAGGAGGCTGATCGGCTAGCCACTGAGCGATCCTTTGTAGCCAGATTCATTGATCGATTTCTACAAATCGTAGAGGAACATCCAGCAGACGTTGGGGTAATTTTGAGATTTTATATCAAATAACTTGGCTTTGGGAGGAGATTAGATAACCTACATTATTGTAACTCGTTTTTCAGGAGATCGATCCCCTCCTAGCCCACTATCTGCAGAGATGTCTTCTCCTACTCATCGACTTCTCCAGCATGCTCCTGACCCGCCGTTTCCTAATCGTCCTCATAGACGACCGTCACGCAGTCATCCGCTGTCAAAATTCTGGCCTATATAAGGAGAATAAAGAGGGCTGCCTGTTCTCTGAATTGGTTGATGTATTTGCCTTTTACGCCTTGTTCCAAGTCGACAAGACGACTGGTGAGGCCGTGGACGCTACTGAATTAGATCGAAGGTAAGCGATTGACCTGTTGGTTTTTATGTTTCTCTGTCATCACAGCCAGCTCCGCAAACACCATCGGTAATTAGCTGCGTTAGCACCTGCATTGTCTGCGCCCTTACCGAGCTCGGGGTCGATGTCTAAATAAACTTACGGAAGGCACATGAAACCCATGAAGGTATCGACCGTTACTTGGGGTTGCGCCACCCCTCCCTCGTCCGCACCCAACCTGTTTCGTTCTATAGAAACAGCTGTAATTCTCACTGAGATGGATTTTGACAACTGTTTTCCTGAAAAGTGACTTTGCACGCTTTAGCTTGACGCAAGGTAATCCCGTTCTCTTTAGGCACTGTTCCTGCAATACAGACTATGTCCATTGTCTGCATGTTCCAAAAAGTTCATACTTTATCATCTCTGGGAAGTCGACTCGGCATTGCAGGGTTTTCCATTTTGAAGGCAACCCGTGTGTAGTGACTTCCCATCACCTCTACATCCTCATTATCCTCGTCATCAGCACCTCCATTTTACCGAGTATACTTCCTGCTATCATATCTCTTCCTGAGCGAAATTAAACTCTGGGCTGAAGTTTAATCCTCAGAACGCGTATCTAGTAGGTAACTCCCGGCGGGTGAGTGCTAGTGCTTACACAAAACACCGGACTGTGGACGTCACGTCGCACTTCCGTTTCCTATAACTCTAGGGCTCGTAATTATGGACACTTTGGAATTACAGGGCGTTACCAAAACACCTAATTGCTGTCCACTTTCTTATCGTTAAGACACCTGCCCTTCCCCAGGCCTCGCCTCCCGTCGTGTATGTCCCTCTTGACAAGCATCTAATAAAGTCCCTTGTGTGTATTGGGTGGTTGGTTTAGCCACTCTATTCGTGTTCCCTCTTCCCACTAATTGCCGCGCTAATTTCTTCATGGTACACCCACTTACAAACATTTGCAACTGACTCGGACGTATTTTCACCCTCTCACTACCCCCCTTAGTGTCATTTTCTTGTCATTCCGTCATCCATCCCCTTCCCATCCCTGACTGCAAAACGTACGCCCAAATGTGAATCGGTACTATGAGGGAATGAGAGTGAGAAGCGAACCGGCACCAGCCCATTACATCCACCTCCGCCTATCCAAGAACTCATAAGCTGGCACTTTATTTCTTGTTAACATAAACGTTTTTGGAGCCTGCAACGAATCCAAAGTCATCCAAGAGTCTTTTTCGGGAAATGTTGATGGTGTCGCAGTTCAAATAGCTTTTTATTTAGAGAAACGATACAGTGTCCGTTTATTCTGTGCGATTGCAGAATACTGGGTTTGGTTACTCAGTAAAGGGTTGGGGGCTATTTAAATAACTTTCGACGCCTGGTACTATGAGAAAGGCGGCCGTTGTGCATTGCCACTGACTCTTCCCAAACCGTCTTTCGCAGAAATGTTCACAGGACAACTTTCTAGGGTGAGGGCGCAATATGCGACCCAATTTCGCACATTACTTATTGCCGCCTACTGTTTTCAGCAACAATAGGTCGAACTATTTTAAACCTGAACAGTCGGGGGACTCTTATTGAGTTGGGTTTTAATCCGGACAATGCTCATTTCTTTCAGATATGTAGGCTACGTGCGCTTTCATGTACAAGTGAAGAAGAAGGATGGTCGAGCACCGTAACATTCCATTTATTTTTTAGAGCTGTGGAACTCGTGCAGGAGTCCATCGTCAGAGATAGAAGCAACAACAGAACAAGGGACAGTTATAGGGCGGGCTAGCCAATCATCGACCGGTGGTATAATATTGGAGGTGACTGCGCAGGTATGCTGGCGCCAGATCTATAAATCGGCTGACTGAGTTCCCTTCCGAGGCTCAGGCTTCAAGAAATTCTCGGCCTGTTTGGTTTCCAGCATGGACGATTATCTTGTTGGCTGCAAAGTCAAACTCAGGACCCACTTCGTGGGTGTGGGCAGCCACTTGTGATAATTCGCTGCCTCGTCGCACAGCCAGTTTATGTTCGTGTATGCGCTATCCGAACATGTGTCCAGTCTGACCTGTGTAATTACAAGTACAGTGGGTAGAAATCATTTGAGGGCCGTTTTTTATTCGATAGTTTGCAGAAACGCACTCAAAAAGGTAATTTTGGACGTTTGTTTGCTTCTATAAAGATGTCATTTACAGTGACTTATCAAATTAACGATCCAGCATGGTTTTGCTAGGTTGCTCATTTGCCTTTCCATCCAACTTGTGCAGACACTGCGCTCAGTTGAACCAACTTCGACTGGAGGTGTTCTCGCTGAATCGGGAGGACTTCTATCGCGAATTTGTCGTATCTAACCCAGCAGCATGTGAAACGAAGGAGAAGTTGCAGGAGTTCTTCCACAAGCTGAGTGTTGAGGAACTGCGGGATCTGGCCGCCCGGTTCGCCTTTTTGCCGCCGAAGGAAGAGGAGGCCACAGAGCCCACGTCCAAACGCAAGAAACCCAACGACGCTCTCCCCCTTGCCATCCAGCCCATCTTCCCTGATTACATTTTCAAAAAAGAAATGCTCGTTAAGGCAAGTGGCAGACGTCGCTCATGAATTTGCATTTACTTTTCTGCAGTCTTTGGAATTTACTTGGCTTATTTTACCCTGTGCAATTTCAGATCCTTGTTTTTCACTTTGTTCGGCGGGAATCACACCTGGCCGAAATGAATAATGCGCCACTCTATCCCACTGAAGATCTCCTGTGGAACGAGAATCTCGTACCGACAGAGTTCTGCTCTGGCGATGAATGTCTTGCTCTGCCCAAACTAGGCCTCCAATTCCTTACTCTGCAGGACTATCTTTTGCGTAATTTCACACTCTTTCGCCTGGAGTCCACGTTTGAAGTTCGACAGGTTTGTTAATTTATCCTTTACTAGTTTTATCAGCTTATTTGTCAACCACTTCGGGACGCTTGTTGGTCCACTCTTTTTAACACGAAAAGTATTTTTCGGTCTGTTCAGTCGTCTCGAACGTCAGCTCAGCAAAGTTATTCTTGGCCAAAAAGTGCGCACACATTTTGAATAATTATAAAGCAAGTGCTCACTAAAGTACCTTTCACGTACAATTTTGCTAACTTCTAATAACCTACCAGCTGTTAGTGTGTATGGGTTTTTGGGACAACGGTTTTACAGTCATTTGGATGCTAATCCTTTGGCGCAGCGAAGGTCACTTGACTCTGAGTAGGAATTTATGAATAACAGCCTCTGGCTGAACTAAAATTGCTCGATCTTAAATCCGGTAAATTATAGTGAATCACCTAGCCTGTGCACATTGCATGTATGCAGTTGCCCAGCTTGTTCCGGTCAGTTTGATATGCCGATACTGTTGCCGAATATCTTACTTCATGAGCTGATCAGTCCCCCCTCATCCCGTCTGACGCCCAACCCTCATTTGTGGCTGCACGAATCTGTGCTGAGCACAACGACCACACCTTACTGGGTCAAACCAAATT